GAATCGTGGTCTTTTCTTATGTTCTAATGTTTTTTCTTGTGGGTATATTGAGGTTGGAGTAAATACTTCTTATGGAATATCAGGATCTTCTGCCATTATCTTTTTTTTTTGTCTTGATCCAAAAAGTTTTGTGAGTTCGTTGTGCCACAAATGCAATTTTTGGAACCCATCCTCCCTCTCCATACACAACACACATAGGTTCATGAGCTTGGTTTTGCTACCTAGTTGGCCAGCTCCTTTAAGGAAAACCGAGCTCTTCCTCAGTAGACCAAGCTCGTATGCGGTAGAACTTTGTCTTGCCCAACAAGCTGAGATGTTACTCAAGAGGCTGAGATCCTACTTGACAGCTTATGCTTCAACGTGGCAACACATAGTTTTTCTTTCTTCTTTCCTATGATAAATTTGAATCCTATCTTGTTCATTTTAATTGCAAAAATTATGTTGCTTGGAAATTTCAATTTAATCTCTTCGTCAAAGAAAAAGAATTATATGGTCATATTGATAGCCGAGTTCCAACACCTATTGGTGCAGCAATTTGGCAAAATGGGAAACCAAAGATGCCCAAATCATGACATGAATTCTTAGCTCGGTTGAGCCTTATGAAGTACTTGAAAAACACTAGAAGGGAGGGGGTGTTGAATAATGTCAATGAAAAACTTTTTGCAACCCTTCTGATATAGCACGTTATCGAGCTTTAAGATTTTTCTTTTAAATGCTTAGACAATAGACTTGATAAATATTGGTAAATGATAATTGTATTTGTCGTGCTATTCAAAATGTATACTGCAGCATTTTGTAAGAACTTCCTTTATGAAAAATAATCGTTTAGGTTGGAAGATTCTTGTATTTGAAAATAAAACACAGCCGCAAGTTTTTATAAGAGGATCATTTAGAAGAGAGACGAGATAATTGCACAAGTAGTTTTATACCGGTTCACTCCAACTGAGCTACGTTCAGTCTCCTCCGTAGAGGGTTTCACTATAATCTTCACAAGATTACAATTGAGTATTCTCACCACTCCTAATACTAGACTACCGTGCTTAGATTTTCCTTGAGTATTCTGATTCTCTTTAGAATTGCAATCAACTATTTCTTACAAGTCGTTCAGACTATTACTCTCACAAAGAGGATGTAAATACAATACATTTGCTTGTGTTTATTTTGTGCATCTTCCTGCTCATGAATATGTTAAATGTACTTTTCTAGGCCATACTCTTAATCAAAAGGGTTATGTTTGTTATGATCCTTAACTTTGTCACATTAAAGTTTTCAAGAATTATGTTTTTTTTTTTAAATCATCTTCATCTTTATTTTATGCCACATTTTGTAGAATCTTCACAAACTATGGAATGGTTCAAGCCTGGTTTCGTGTATGAAAGACATTTTCCTCATCCTCCTGATACCCTTCATGATGATGGTCCAATCCTTGATCCTGACCCACCTTCTACACTAGATCATGTTTCGTTTATTCTACTCTTTGCGAGTCCACTTGATCATCAAAACTCCCTTATTGTTATGGTTTTTTTACACATGTTTCTTTATCAAATACCTTGTCTTCTAATTTTGTTCCTTCTAGTTATACCTAGGCTACAAAACATGAATGTTTGAGAAAAGAAATGCAAGAAGAACTCCTGACACTTCTAGAAAATCCACGTGGGACATTATGTCTTGTCCTCCCACGGTCAAACCTATTAGAAGTAAATGAGTTTTCTCTGTTAAGCTTTGATTTGATGGCTCTTTAGATTTGTATAAAGTTATGTTAGTAGCTCTTGGTAATAAACAACAATATAGGATTAATTATGAGAAGACATTTGCTCTTGTTGCCAAGATGACTACAATTTGGAGAATCCTTGCTCTTGTTGCTTCTCAATCATGTCCATTGCATCAAATGGATGTGAAGAATGTCTATCTTCAAGGTGATGTCAAAGAAGAAATCTACATGAAACTTCCATTTAGTATGCTTACTTCTTTTTTTTTAGTGATGTTTGTAAATTACGACGTTCCTTGTATAGGCTTAAACTAGTATAATTCTCTTTTTGTTTTATATGGATGATCTCATCATTATGGGAATTGATCATGACTTAATTAAGAAGTTGCACATTGAGCCACATGCAATATTTTGCATGAAATATCTTAGATAACTCACTTATTTTTTTGCATCGGTCTAATGAAATGATTTTAAACCAACAAAAGTACATTCAAGATTTGATTGAATTAATGGGTTTAGATGGGTTAAGATTCAAATGGATGTGAAGAATGTCTATCTTCAAGGTGATGTCAAAGAAGAAATCTACATGAAACTTCCATCTATTATGCTTACTTCTTTTTTTAGTGATGTTTGTAAATTACGACGTTCCTTGTATAGGCTTAAACTAGTATAATTCTCTTTTTGTTTTATATGGATGATCTCATCATTATGGTATAGGCTTAAACTAGTATAATTCTCTTTTTATTTTATATGGATGATCTCATCATTATGGGAATTGATCATGACTTAATTAAGAAGTTGCACATTGAGCCACATGCAATATTTTGCATGAAATATCTTAGATAACTCACTTATTTTTTTGCATCGGTCTAATGAAATGATTTTAAACCAACAAAAGTACATTCAAGATTTGATTGAATTAATGGGTTTAGATGGGTTAAGATTCAAATGGATGTGAAGAATGTCTATCTTCAAGGTGATGTCAAAGAAGAAATCTACATGAAACTTCCATCTATTATGCTTACTTCTTTTTTTAGTGATGTTTGTAAATTACGACGTTCCTTGTATAGGCTTAAACTAGTATAATTCTCTTTTTGTTTTATATGGATGATCTCATCATTATGGTATAGGCTTAAACTAGTATAATTCTCTTTTTATTTTATATGGATGATCTCATCATTATGGGAATTGATCATGACTTAATTAAGAAGTTGCACATTGAGCCACATGCAATATTTTGCATGAAATATCTTAGATAACTCACTTATTTTTTTGCATCGGTCTAATGAAATGATTTTAAACCAACAAAAGTACATTCAAGATTTGATTGAATTAATGGGTTTAGATGGGTTAAGATTCAAATGGATGTGAAGAATGTCTATCTTCAAGGTGATGTCAAAGAAGAAATCTACATGAAACTTCCATCTATTATGCTTACTTCTTTTTTTAGTGATGTTTGTAAATTACGACGTTCCTTGTATAGGCTTAAACTAGTATAATTCTCTTTTTGTTTTATATGGATGATCTCATCATTATGGTATAGGCTTAAACTAGTATAATTCTCTTTTTATTTTATATGGATGATCTCATCATTATGGGAATTGATCATGACTTAATTAAGAAGTTGCACATTGAGCCACATGCAATATTTTGCATGAAATATCTTAGATAACTCACTTATTTTTTTGCATCGGTCTAATGAAATGATTTTAAACCAACAAAAGTACATTCAAGATTTGATTGAATTAATGGGTTTAGATGGGTTAAGATTCAAATGGATGTGAAGAATGTCTATCTTCAAGGTGATGTCAAAGAAGAAATCTACATGAAACTTCCATCTATTATGCTTACTTCTTTTTTTAGTGATGTTTGTAAATTACGACGTTCCTTGTATAGGCTTAAACTAGTATAATTCTCTTTTTGTTTTATATGGATGATCTCATCATTATGGTATAGGCTTAAACTAGTATAATTCTCTTTTTATTTTATATGGATGATCTCATCATTATGGGAATTGATCATGACTTAATTAAGAAGTTGCACATTGAGCCACATGCAATATTTTGCATGAAATATCTTAGATAACTCACTTATTTTTTTGCATCGGTCTAATGAAATGATTTTAAACCAACAAAAGTACATTCAAGATTTGATTGAATTAATGGGTTTAGATGGGTTAAGATTCAAATGGATGTGAAGAATGTCTATCTTCAAGGTGATGTCAAAGAAGAAATCTACATGAAACTTCCATCTATTATGCTTACTTCTTTTTTTAGTGATGTTTGTAAATTACGACGTTCCTTGTATAGGCTTAAACTAGTATAATTCTCTTTTTGTTTTATATGGATGATCTCATCATTATGGTATAGGCTTAAACTAGTATAATTCTCTTTTTATTTTATATGGATGATCTCATCATTATGGGAATTGATCATGACTTAATTAAGAAGTTGCACATTGAGCCACATGCAATATTTTGCATGAAATATCTTAGATAACTCACTTATTTTTTTGCATCGGTCTAATGAAATGATTTTAAACCAACAAAAGTACATTCAAGATTTGATTGAATTAATGGGTCTAGATGGGTTAAGCCCTCAAGGATTTTCTTTTGATAACACTCCAAAAAGCCTCTTACTAAGGGAGGTATCTTATGTGTATATAAACCCATGTTTATATCTTGTTTTATCTTATGTGGGACTTTGTTTGTACCCAACAAGTCAATGTCAAGTATTGGAAAGATGAAGGATATATTTTGTCGGATCCCACTCCCTATCGATGTTTGGTAAGAAGTTATTCAGATTGCTACAAATCCAGTGTTTCATGAACATATATACCAAGCATATTGAAGTGATTCATGAAGCTTTGATCAACATCGTCATCTCTCTACCTTACATCTCCAGTGATCTTTAAGTTGCTGATATATTTTCCAAAGTGTTTTCTCAACAACGTCAGTAGTTTCTTGTTGGTAAATTATTGTTGGTTGACTTACCAACATCAATTCGAGGGAGATATTAGTATATTTTATTATGTTTTTATTAGTCTTTATTAGATTATTTTTTACCTGTTGTTAGGACTTATCAGCAATTATTCACTATAAATAGAAAATCTCTCATAATTCATCCCTTTATTGGATATATCTTGCAATCTAATGTAAACATATTTTATACTTTTAAGAAATGAGGGTAGCAAATTTAAATACAAACAAACTTTTTTAACATTGTGATTCTTTCTTATTCTTTTATTTATCTTCTATCGCCTAATACTGAAATATGTAAGACGAGTGCTCTCCTCATTTGTATTGTTACTGTAGGGAGTTAGTGTCGGTACCATCAAAACAAAGGCAAATGTGTGTTGTGTTCAGTTTCCCCTTGATTTTGCGCATTTCCTTGCATTTGGTTCAGCAGATCATCAATTATATTACTATGATCTTCGCAACATGAAAGAGCCTCTTTGTACATTAGTTGGACATAATAGGACAGTGAGCTACATCAAATTTGTAGACTCCGTTAGCTTAGCCTCTGCATCCACAGATAACACTTTGAAGCTTTGGGATTTGTCCAACTGTGCATCTCGGGTTATAGATTCACCGGTTCAATCATTCACTGGTCACAAGAATATTAAGGTACGTTGTTCACAACAGTTATTTCTCTCTTTTCTAGAAAATGAAGGATATAAGGAAAAATATTTTAAAGAATAGTATTACTATAAGAATTAATATTATGCATGAAAATAATTAAAAAATGTTGCACTAAGTCTCGCATGGAATAGAAAATAATAAAGTTAAATACAATATAAAAAATTCATAAATCTAATATATTTAAGTTTTGAATTAAAAATGATGTTACTCATGTCATATTTATGTAATTTCTTTATAATAAACTTTCTCAACAAGAAAAACATACCTATCATAACAACATTGTTATTATCTCAATTTAAGATCACCAACTATTTGGTAAGCCCTGCAATTTTTGAAGAATGGTATCTGGGAGAACAATTAAGATTATGATTCTTAAAATCTAACATAAACAGTAGATTTTCCTTTTGCAAAATCTAAAAGTGAACTTTAATCATATTAATTTTTAATTAGGTGGGGTGTTGCAGGTTAAAATATACCTAAGAGGATGAATTTTTAATTGTATTAACTTTTAATTAGATTATATAGATTTAAGTTTTATTTTAACTTAATTCATCATCCAAACACAGGTGGTACAACCAACAAGTTAGAAAAGACGACGATTGACATTGTTTTATGATTTTGTTCAATGATCCTAATGATTTTACTATATCATGATCATATGGGATATCTGAATTGAAAATACTATATAAAATCGTCATTTTATGAGTTAAATCTCAATTATAACTACTATTTATCTTCCTTTTATTGCAGAACTTCGTGGGGTTGTCTGTATCAGACGGTTACATTGCTACTGGTTCGGAGACAAACGAGGCATTTCATTTGTCCCTTAGCTTGGTTTATAATTTGTCATTTAATGAGTTCCTTTCATTGTATTTTTCCAAAGTTGTCGTTAGAACATTGCTTTGGCATACATTTCTATTAGATTATATTATAAATCAAGATGTTAAAATATAGGAATTATTATGAGAAATGAAAATTTATTCAAGTAATTTCACTAATAAGGTCTATGAATAATTATGATGATATTGTGGTATTTTATACTTACGCATTTTTCTAGAATTTTGTATTAATGGTTTTACTCTATGTTAATTAGGTGTTCATATATCACAAGGCTTTCCCCATGCCAGCATTGTCCTTCAAATTTTATAGTAGTGACCCATTGCCTCTGGATGAAGCGAATGATCCTTCTAAGTTCATCACTTCTGTTTGTTGGCGTGGTCAGTCGACAACCTTAATTGCTGCAAACTCCACAGGGAATGTCAAAATTCTGCAGATGGTTTAAGTGGTGTTTGTTGGAAATAATTATACAAATATTTGTACATGAGCTGACAGATAACTGTTCTAGCAACTGAGCTTTGTGTTGGGAATATAGGCTACACAGAAGTCTATACGAATTTCATGATTTAGTTATAAAATTTATTTTTCTCTAGATCAGAGTGATTTGAGAGAGAAAATAAGTGGGAATGATCTCTTCAAGTGTATTATTCTATATGGAACAAACGAAAAGTGGAAATATAAATTAGGTTGTCTTTTTTGTTGTGCTATACTATATTTTATTACCGTAAGGATGCATATTCAATGTTTAAAATATTTACTTGCGGTATTTTCACAATTTCATGAATTGGGCTTCTTGGTTTATCAATTAAATTGTTAAAAATAACAAAGAGAGAATATATTATTAAATGTTAATTCATTGAAAGAAAAAGATATATGATAAGAAAAATGTAAATATCTATAGCAAATAAATTAAAGTATCTTTTCTTGTGGTCAATGTTATCACATGACAGATTATCTTGTGAGGATAATCTTAGAAATAATAGAATTTGTCTTTTAATTTGTTATATATTAACATATATTTAATTTTGTATGGTTGATTACACTTTGGTCTTATCAACATTAATCTCGTCTTAGTACAACTTAGTACAAAACACATTCTAGGTGTTGTCTACATAGAGTTATGTGCTACTTATCGAGAGTTAGGTGTTGCCTATCAAAAGTTAGATGTCGTTTACCAAAACTACATGCCACCTACTGAGAGCTATGTAGTATTTACCATGACTACTTACCGTCTAATGAGAGCTATGTATTGTTTACCAAGACTATGTGCTACCTAACGAGAGCTATGTGTTATGTTGCCTATCAAAACTATGCATCATCTACCAGATGTAATGGTGAACTACCCGGCCATAAGCCATTTGATTGCTTATACCCGGCCATAAGTTTACCAGGCCACAAGCCAACTTGTATAACCACTACTACCAGGTCATAAGTCGACTCGTTTGAGTTCCTTTTAGACTTTAAAGCTAATGACGTACTACTTTGTAACTTAGTATAATCTAGATCAAACAACTAGCTCATGAGGTAAATGGGTCACAGGGCCCACCCTGGCCCATATAGGTGAGGATCCATAAACACAAAAATTATCCTATAAATAGTAGAATCATCGAAGTAAATAGTTTATGTTCATTATTACATCAGTAATTGATATTTGATGCACTATGCTAAATCTAATCATAGAACCTTACAATGTAAAAGAAGTAAGGAGAAAAACAAGATAAAGAAAGTAGGAGACCAAGAGAAGATACCTATAATTTCTCTTGTTTGAGGAAGTTTGCATCATATAAGAAGAATATAAAGATATAAAAATAAAAGGATGCTCTATAATATCTCTACCTAGATGAAAATTCAAAAGATATATCACCTTCAATGGTCATTTTAAGGCTAGTAAATGGATTAGATACAATTTGTAAGATATTTATCTTTCTTTCATTATCTTATAGCAACTATCTCTTAAAGATATTAATATGAATATAAAGTACAAATAAGAAAAAGCTGTTTTTTTCCTTTTTGTATTTTTATCAACATAAATCCATTTGTAGATAAAAATTAATGATGTTCAGGTCAACTCCAAGTTTAATAAACGAGAGGAAATAAGAAGAAAGTCTTGATTTTGAAAAGATTTATCAGATAATGATTCAGAAGCACACATCCTTCATTCTTCATTAGTCCTTTTAGATACCTATATCACCCTACAAGAAAAAATTATGATAAAAGTAAGAAACTTTAAAAAATAGACAAGTCTTAAGAAACATCATCAACATGCAAGTTAGAAAGTTCTAGACGCCTTTGAGCAAAAAAAAAAAGAACTAATTATTCAAATGACCAAGTTAGTGAAATCTATATTATAAATCATTCACATGAGTGTGTGAAGTAAGTTGGTGATATCAAGGAAGAACTTAGATTTAATATACACTCTAGAGAGTGTGAATTGTTGACCTTCCCTTAAAGGATTTAGATTTTCCAACAAGTGCATTGGTTCGATTATAGAATAATAAAGTGTGTCCACAAGGATTTGGTTTCATAAAACAATAATCTTTGATCTATTCAAATATGTGATAAAACAATGATAAAAGTTTGACACTTTAGAAATAAGTTTGATAAATTAACAAAGATAAGTGATGTTGATTAAGATGTTGAGATTAAACTTGGCATCTTTCACTTCACGTGTAAAACCCAGATAAAATAAAAATGTTGTGGCTCGCTTTCTGTAATCGATTAATCTTGTACTTAAGCAAATTTTCAATCCAATTTCCATTTTAAACAAAATGTTGTGGCTTGTTTCTGTTTTAATCGGTTATATACATTGTATAATCGATTACTACAAAATAGTTTGCCCTTGTTTAGCTTACTAAGTGATTTGATTAAATTTAATAGATTATATACCATATTTATCAATATGTTTTAAGCAAGGTTCATTTAACAATAATGAATTCATATATCAAGCACAAACAAGATAAAGATAAAACAATTGTTATGCCATTTGTTGTGCAAGAAATAATAAAACCATTCTTTTGTTGATTATCAAAAACCAAGATTTATAAGGAGGTTAAAGTTCCCCCTATCAACACTAGTGTTGCAAAATGCAATAGGACCCATTATCCACAATGAGAGAACATGTATTGTTTAAAATTTGACATCTTGTATGGAAGATGTTCTCTATTTGTGAAATGTGTGAAACACTAGGTTGATTACTAAGAAGCCTTCTAACCATAAGAAGCTTTCCTTCACAAGGGAATGCATCCTCTCCATTAGAATCTTGAGGCTTTTCACTCTCACTCTTACTAGCCATTAACTCTTCCTCATTACTATAGAGATCAATGCCCCTTAAGATGATAGTCTTTTTGGTGAGGCATTGAGCAGCTATGTGTCCTCTTCATAGACACTTAAAGCACTTGATGTCACTAGTACGAATGTGTGTGGATGACTTTCCCTTACCCTTTTCCTTATCTATATTGACAATTCTTCCTTTTTAAAAACATTCTTGCCATACGAACTAGAGTGAGCTTGATCTTTCTTTGAAGAAGATTTTCTCAAGTTTTGTTGTTCTACCTCTATACACATTTGAACTAAATTGTTTAAATATCTATAAGGTAGAAGCTCAACTCTATCCCTGATATCAAGGTTAAAATTGCTCAAGAATCTAGCCAATGGAATATCTTCATTTGCAACAATGTTTGCCCTCATCATGTATAACTCAATATTTTTCCTATATTTTTCTACAGTCATAGACCTCTACTTAAGTCTCTAGAGTTTATCCATGAGTTCTCTATTGTACTACGAGGGAATGTGCCTCCTCCTAAGGAAAGACTTGAGATCATTGCAATATGTAATGGATGAATCATTGTGGCGACGCCTCTCTTGAACTAAAGAGGTCCACTAGTACACAACATACCCTTAAAAGTTGAGGGTTGCTAAAGGAAACTTTCTCTCTTCATTGACTTAGTGGCATGTAAAGATTTGCTCCACCTTCATCTCCTAGTCCAAATATGCCTCAATGTTATCTTTGCCATGGAAATAAGGCAAGTTGACTTTTATTTCCCTAAGGGTATGTTCCTTTCTTTGTCTTCTAGATGCAGAACAATGTTGATAACATTACCTTATTCTTAAACCCTTTTGATCATAGGTTGACTACCCACTTTGAATTCCCCTTGACTTTTCTATTTTTTGTATTCTTCTTCTTTTAAAAGCCTAATGTCATCCACATAAGTGCATTTGAAGTTCTTTATCAATTTTGTCTCTTCTCCTAATTTTCACTTCTTTTTGTCGCCATAAGTTGAGTTCTATGAGTTCTTTAGAAATTTGTTTTAAGGTAATAGATTCCTTAGAGTCACTCCCTCCATGGTCAGATAGATGTCTAAACATCTTTAATTTCAAAAGTTCTCCTAAAATGAAAAGGTTGAGAGGTTTCATAAGTTTACTCCCAAGTAAGAGTGGTGGGTCAAAGACTGTATAAGTACCAAGTCTTACCTAGCCAGAATTGTTCCTACTACTTACTCTACCACTTTTCACAAAAGGATATGCTCTTGAGCTTACAAGATTAACAAATAATTAAACCAAAATTACTTTAAGACCCCTAAACACTAAAAACGAACTCCTAATGTAGCAAGGCTTAGAACTTTATATCTGAGTCCAACTACTCCTAAACGTGTTAATAAAAAGAAACTATACAAGGTCCTATTGTAAGGCTTGTTAGCTTTGGCTTCCAAGACACACTCTTCGACTACCCCAAATCTATTACAAGAAAATCAACTTGCCAAGAGATGGAAGAACACCAAAGGTTCTTCAAAGACACTTGGTTCAATGGCCTTTACAACAAAACAAAAGTTGAAACTATGACAAATATTAGTAAATTAAAAGAAAAACTCTCTCGTCTCTCATGGTTCCCTTAATCTCTAAGTTTTGTGTTTAGCTTCTTTGGAAATTCCTCGGGATTGGAGTTTCTTGGAATCCTCCACCTCCTAAGATGCTACCATTAGTTATGGTACACCTCCCAAATGTTATTCTGCATTGCCAAGAAGATAGTATTCAAAACTTGATAATGATCTAATATCACGCATGAACAACACAATATTTGACACTCAAAGCTTAAACCAATTCAGTGTACTCGGCATATATCAGTGTTGTACTTGAAAAATTACCACCAAGTTCATTCAAAGGAAATTCATAGCTCACTTGATGTGCAAAATTTGGACAATGCAGACTCTTAACTCAATTAGAAACTGATTTTAATCAGTAAACTTTGAAGATTATTGAAAGTATAAGAAAATCACATGACTAATATAACATGACACAATAAGGATTCCTAACACAAACACAGAGATTCAAGGTCGAACAAATAATTTGAACCTCTGTATTTCTTTTAAATAGACACATCAGATTTAACATTAAACAAACAAGACAATTAAGGAAAAACACAGAACAATGCAAAAATTGAAGAAAAACAAACTTATATCAAGAAGCGTGATATAAACCTAAGCTTTGAATACCACTTGATCACTCAAGGTTGGCTATTATGCTCGTTGTAATGGATGCAGCGGAATGAAGGTCACATGTGATTCGGTGTGGTGAAAAGGAAGCGCCAATGGAATGCAGAAACCCAAGGAAGATTATATCTAACAAGGAAGGGGGCTAAAGGAGACCGGAAAACTCTCTAGTCGGTGACTTGTAAGAGGACGATAAGAATTTATGTTTATTGAAAGTCCCA